TGTAAATCTCTACATGCCAAAAAGGCCCAACTGTTAACGCTTTATGATGAAAATTGATTAAAAAATAGTAAATTGAAAGGAGTAAATTGATATAAAAATTATTAGGACTAAATTTGAAGCACGTGAGTCTATTTCCTGGATCCGACTGCATATAAAATTAATGGCAAGCCTTTGAGAAAAAGATTTATTTTCTAGTATTTTGTGATGAAAATTGTGCAAAAAAATTAAAAGTATAAAATTTGAATCACACAGGGCTGTGTTTTAAACCCTATCAGATATAGGGGTTATCAATAAAAGCAGGCCATTATCTTTTTCTTTTTTAGATGATGGGAGATGAAAAATCATGAAATTTTAAGTAAGTTAAGTAAGTTGCAAATTTAGATCACGTCATATGATGTTTTGGGTATCTTCCAATATGTGGGCTTTCATGTAAGGACAGCCTTTGTGTGAACATAATGCGTACTTTTTGGTATATTATTACCAAAACGAGTGAACAATTGTACAAGGCGAAGTATAGTAGGGTATCTACGGTCGGCGTTGACGGAGTTATAATGTGCTCCTTTGTTTTGTCGCTTACTTTAGCTTTAAAGTGTTACTTGTTTCATGGAAATGTAAACGTCTTTTCAACGGCTCGAGGGACGTTCGTCCAACCTTTATAAATCGATGTGACATTCAGTACGAATTAACTGACGTTCTTCTTCTTACGTATTTTGCGAGTTTTTAAATGATATCGCAAAAACTAATGTTCGAATTCTTCTGAAATTATTTTGAAAAATCGAAATTATGCCTTAAGTTAACACTGTTTGTGGGAGTTGACGATGTGGTTGTCCTTTAGTTCGGTTGCTTAAAGTTATATAATTTTGAAAAAATTATGAAAATTATAGCTTGTTTCGCTAGAAATAGATTCTTAATAAATTAAAAAAAAATTCTCTCGCTCCATGAGTTGAGAACAAGTTAAACATCTTTATGTGAATCTTTGTAAAAATGAAAAAAAAAGAAAATGGCGAACTTATAAGATATTCAAACATGTGCACGCTACACTTGCCATATACTTATATATAGACTCGTCAACATATATAGCATTTTCAAGATTTAATTTTATTTACGAAAAACGTACGAAGTTAACATATGCGTGATGTACTATTACAGACCCCTACAGTATGAACAACAGCATTGAAAAATAAATAGACTTTGAATTTTGTGTTTAATGATCAGCAATCAACATGTTTTATTCGCAAAAAAACAAAAAAAAAAAATATTCAGAACTTCAAGGTTAACTTCTTTTTAATTGTATTAGTGATTGTACAGCTTTGCGCAGCAAATAGAAATAGGAATGTGTCTAATAATAAATACAATCAAACAAGCTGAATTTATTAACAATTGCAATTTACTGGGGAAAAAAAAGAAACGACAGAGAGAATCGTTAATATATACATACAATGGTGTCATTAATCAACAAAACAAGTAAGTAAGTAATTGAGACAAGAGTTTGCAACGGATATCTGTCATAGCTACATTGAAAACAAAAAAAAAGTTAAGATTCAAGTAGAAAAGGGTAAATGGGAGTTTGCTCTTCACTTGAATTGAAAGAATATTTTGATACCTACAGTTTCCTGTCTTTTATACTTTACATCATTTCAGGTGCAATGGTACATTAAGTTTCTGCGGATGTATCCAATACCCAGGAGAACTTGAGATAGACCTACATTTTTTTATACCGATCGTTTCAGAATCATTTCGTCAATCGAGCTAAGCTTGTCTGTCTTCCTCCCAAAAAAATAAAAAATAAAAAAAAATAAAAAAAAAATTATGGCACAAGTTAATAGCTGGGATACTTAGTTTTAGAGAAAGTCAGCTATCGGTAAAGCACTTCGGCATGAAAAAGGTGGTATTCGCTTTTAAGCAGATAGATCTTAAACCATTAGCGAAAGTGTTTTATCGGGTTTCAGTTTAATTACACAAAAGATGTCTCTGCACGCTAAAGACCATGAAGGTAACTAAGAAGTGGTAGGAGAGAGATAGAAATCTTGGAAGGTGTGCGATCGATCCAACAATGCACTACTAGTTACGATCACAAACCAATTATAATTAATGCATGGCCTATTGCACTTGGATTTGAACCCGGAGATGTTGACGCGCTTCTTAAATACATTGCTATGTGGTGGTCTTAATTTCTGACCCGAGTTTATTTATATTATTTTATGTATCCATTTATATACTATTATATGCCAAGTACAGCTTTTTATATCTGTTACAAAAAGTTTGAACGGCAGACTATTCGTAGAAGTCAAAGTTTTAAGCTGATTAAGAATATATTAGCAATTTCTCAAAGAAAATGTTGAGTCTAATAGAGGAGAGAGACTTTAGTGTACGAGAATAAATGTAGTGAATGGAATGAAATGAGCAAAAAAAATTATCGGCATTTAATTGTTGTATCAATGTCGATCCCTCTGTTGTAATGTTGATTACAAATTGCAAAAGTTTGGGCAGAAAAAAATTTTGATCCGAGTGCTGTTATTTTTTACGTAGGTTTGCGAAAGAGGTGCGCTGAAGATTTCTCATTTCTCCTTTGTTAAAAACTTAAAATTTTTTTGTAAAAAAAGTTATAAAACTCAATTTGAGCAAAATCAAAGAAAAAACTTGAACGCAATAACCACAAATTTCCCTATATTTTATCTTGTAATCGCTCAAAAAAACTCTCAAGTTGGTGTTATTACCGATATACTTTGTTTCTTTTTCAGACAATGAGAAAATAACTGCTGATTTTATAACAGAATCTCACACAGTAATGGGTTCAGGATGACTATTAATGAATCCGTATGATTTTAAGATAATCTTTAAACGAAATACAACAAAATGTGACGACCGTCTAACCATTAGTTTACTAGTTACAGTTGTTTAAGTGATTTTCCCAGTGTTTTACAAAAACAAAGGTGTGGTCAATAAAATGATTTCAACTTGTACTCTATCTAATAATCGTAGCAATTCATTAAGAGTGAGGAACTTATTGAGTGGAGTATTAAGGCAACAGTAGAAAGGTGGTATCTGGATATCCTAAAAAATATTTCTAGGCATTACAAACGATCCACGTTCCACGATCCTGATATACCGAACTCGATTTATGCGCGGAAAGATTGGCTTAGGAAGAAAACGGTCATCAATTCTTGAATTCATTGGCGCTTGCGAAGCAAAAGATATTCGTGGGGCTTTCTTAAGCCGCTCAGTCGCTTTTTATACCGTAATTTTCAAAAATTTTTTAAAAATAACTATGTGTCATATCGAATAAAGTATGGGAAGTCAAGAACGAGCATTCTGATCGGGCGATGTGGGTAGTACTTGATCCAAACTCCATTTTCCCACTTTTACAATCTATGGATTAGATGGGCTCGATAGGGGAAAACTTACCTGTTCGGAACGTAAGTGTGTAAAACGGACTGTTGGGTCTTTCTCGAATCTACGTGTGGTGGTGGATGACCGTTCATAGTTCGAGAAGTGATTTGTTGGGTTAATTCTGATAACGAAGTAGACTCAAATGTATTAAATAGATGCTTTCAGGATAATGGTGTGGAAGATTTTATGGCGTTCACTGTTGGAGACACAGTAAATTGTGTGAATATTTAAATGTGTTTTTAAACACAGGAGCCTACCTGTTTTAGTTCGCCAGCTTCTTAAAATGATTTTATTGACATTTTTTTTGTATTTAAAAAAGAAAATATTTCAATAGGAGACATCCGCACATCATGCGATTTGAATGGAAGGCTACTTATAAAGAGTATCTGCTTTTTGTGTAGAACTTGTCCTACATTGGGTGTCACCTCTATTAACGAACTGTAACGAACTGTAACGGTTCACTGCAAACAGATTATTCCCTCTTAAAAAGCATAACCTAAATAATCCATTTTTTTTAACTTATGCAGCGTTATCCGGACGCCGCCTAAGTTTGATACAAAAAAAGGGAAGAGAATTCGAAAACTCTAAAAAAAGTATTGAAATTTCATTTAATTTGGAATGTCATCAGCAACATTTTCATATCGATATTTCGAAGTGTCTTCTGAATGAAACGTAAATTCTGTCAAGAAGAATTCCCCTTCTTCTATGAAGAAATAAATCAAATGTTTTGAATAATCGGAAAACCCATAGAGAACAAGAGCGATTGCGGTGGCCTTTTTTTGAGACAGAAAAGATTTGAAATAGACTTGAGGAAGACTTTCTAATATATTTAGCAAAGAATTTTAAATCATGGATTTGCTTTTTATATTCTTTCTCATTAATAGAGACACTTGATCGATCACCTGTTCAAGTTCAGCAAGTGAAAGGTCAAATTATTTTCGAAGCTCTCGCATTCAGTTTAATACTTTATGCCGCAGGCTTTCGCTGAAAAATTATCACATTTTTAATTATTGAACATTCACAGAGCGCTTTTTGTGCAAAATAATACTTATCTCCTGGACGTGAAAGGCTTTCGTTTTTTTTCTTTTTAAAAATTCTTCGAACTTCAGTTTAAAAATCAACATTTTTGTTGCATACTTCCCGTGTGCTTTATCTATTACTTAAGTAAATAGAAACAGAGCGGTTTTTTGTATTTTATTTCTTTTCAAGTCTAATTGGATTTCGTTGTTAAATGTTAGAAAAAAAGGTCAACAACAACTTATATTAGAAATATAATACAATTATAAGACAAGGTTACATATTTTACGAAGAAGGGGAAGCTTTCTTGGGGCATAACATTTTCCAAAGGAAAGTGTACATATATATACCAATTAGAAATTTTTTTTTCTACAGCATATAAGTGTACATTAGTGCTGGCATGAAGCATATATTTATTGTTTTCAATTAGTCATCTTTTTGACGTTGATAATTCTTAGATTTTTCAAAAAAAAAAAAAAAAAGAGGAAGCTTTAATAGATTTTTTTAATGGCCAAGTTTGGTTTTGTGGTATCCTTTTCGCAATTAAAAATTTAAACAATATATGTATATATATATATATATAAAAGTTTTAATATATGTGTTAATTTTGTTTATATCTCTATGAGAAACATCCTCTCCCTCTTCAAACACTGGTTATAGGTCGTTGTAGCAATAAAAACGGACAGAACTTTCTCTCGCAACACTTTGGATGTTCAATTTCACATACGTAAGAGCGTTCGTTATCTGTTACTATGGACGACTTTTGCAATCTTTATATACTATACGCATTTCCATAAACACATACATTAGCACGCGATTAGTAGTACACGTGCCACTTAGAACAAATAGCACATTTATTAAAATTATTTCAAGTCGTAATCAAATTGTTCCTTTGTTTCTAACACAAATAATTCTTTCTGTTTTATTTTATTTGTAATGGGCAGCTCTTCCCAATGTTTCTTACTTAAGATGATACGCCCGCAATTTTTTATAGGAGAGAGAAAAAGACTGACTTGTCGAATTGACGATAATAAAATCACAGCAAGTCCCTATCTCGCTCCCACATATGTTGCAGTGCGTTGTTTCAGAAACAATGGTTAGAGAAAACTTGTTCCTTTTTTTTATTTTTTTAAATATTTGTTACGAGATTCGTTACTTTTAAGGCAAACGCTTGGAGTATTGTATCTTTTATTAAATAACATATTTTTTTGCTGTTATATTATGCATCTCAAAAATCAACTTGATAGCAACACACATTTCAAACTAACGACGTAGATACTCCACCAAGCAGCTGCGAACGTTTGAATAGGCAACGCTGAACGTGAACGAAACCAAGCGCGAACTCTTTTTCTTTTTTCAGCATAACAAAGTTGTTCGAACACGTATATAACGACAAAGTAAAAAAAAAAAAAAAGCTGATTGTAAGAAAGAACGAGGACACATATTAGATGAGATTCGTCATTTCGTTTTTTTTTTTTTCAACATACACAGCTGTATATTGTGTTGTTACTAGTTATATGGTGGTTGTTTTTATATTGAATTTTGAGCAGTATTAAAAGAAAAAAAGCGCGCGCGTAAAACAACAAACGCTCACACACTTTCCTATAAGTACACACTCTTATTAATATGTAGGTAGATAGATACCCTAAAAAAGTTTTTATCTTTTATATTAGTAAAGCAAACGTAGAGTGTACGAGAGAAACTGAATTATTTTGTAAACTCGCCAACTAACTAACTACTTGACTCCTAAAGCTTTTTATCTCTTTTACGTTTTCCGTGCCTCTCTCCTTAAATTAAAGATTATTAAGGGGAATTTTCAAACAATGTACAGTTGGCTTTGAAGAGTTAGAGGCGAACAATGAAAAGCAAAAAAAAAGATATAGTGCGAAGAGCTTTTGATGTATTTTCCAAACAAAAACCACATTGATGATGATTTCATAATTTGTACTAAACGAGGCCACACGACAATAAAGCTTTATTGTCGTGTGCACGAGAGAATTTAGGTGAACGAGTGTTTTTTTTTTTTTATTTTATACAACAAACATATATGTGTATGCATCGGTGTATCTACATCTTATCCACATATATACAATTCCAACAAGTCAATCTGCATATATACATATAAATATGGCGTAAGAAAATTTCCTGTAGAATGAAGTCATCACATTTACACAAAAAAAGAAGCATTTAAACATATTGCCATTTAACAGAAACAAACTTGTGAAAATAATATATATTTAGAAACTCTCCAAAAAAAAAAAAAAAAAAAATTCAAAGCAAAATGTAAGTAAAAATATTTAAATTACTCTGTTTGTACCAAAGAGCTAAACACTTTCTTGAAAACACTCATCGAAAACTTTATTATACATGCGAAAAACAATTATTTATGAAATGTTAATATTGTTGTAAGATTTAGATTTCGTTGATTTAGAAACGAATTATTAATATTTGAAAATATAATCGATGAGGCAAAAAAATGAGGAAAAAGTGATTGCATAACGGATATACGTACACAAGTGATGGTGTTCAAACGAACCATTTAAGTGCTGCTCGTGTAGCCGAAACAGAAATTGTGAATCTGTGTCATTGTGATAAAAAAAGGTAAAAAACTAAGTCAGAAGCATATATCAAAATGGAAATCCCAATATACAATATACACGTGCCCATAAGATTCTTTTACATTCTTTTTCGATAGATATAGTTATTAAAAACTTAAACCTTAAACATGAAAAATTTTTTTGAAGATTCTTTAGCCCGCGCCCATAAACACACAAACACATTTGCATATTATTGCGCACATAAGCATATATATATATATATATATATACATATATACATATATATATATATATATACAATCAACCACCAAGTAAGCAGAGTAACAACTATTCATCACCGAATACAACGTAATAAAAAAAAAGTTTTAGCTTAGCAACAACAAAATGCTAGCAAAAAATTATTTCAAGTTATGTGTACTTTTTCAATAATTTCTTATTTGCTTTGTTATTCACTTTATATAAAAGTATTAAAATTAAAAAATATATATTTATATGTATTAGTGTATATAAACACATACATATATATACATATATAAAGTTCCACAATTAGCTGCTAAGTGCTTTGCTATGTAACCGTCGCCAGCGCTAAATTTATTTAGAACGACCGTACACGACCACGAATGATTAACGAATGATTTTGTAGAATAGAAAAACTTATGTAAATGGTTTGTTTCCAAAATGCCAGCACTGTGTGTTAGTCTATAAGCGCTTTTAATAAGCATACATATGCATGCAATTTTGCTCGCATGCTCTCGCATGTGTATATCTATATATATATATATATATATATAGTCGTGCGTTTATTGAAAGCTTTTCTCACTTCCCCTGCGCTAAACTAATTTCAAGTAGCATCGACTATATTGGAACCTTCGTTACATTTCGTGTTTGCATCTGTGTCGCTTGTTGTTAGTTCTTCTCTTTAGCTTTACTACATCTACTGTTAGTTTGTGTTAAGTTGTTAGATACAGAAAAAAAAGCTTATTTTGTTTATTATTCTTCAAGTATATGGGTTGCTTTGAAGGTAATCGTAATGTATTTGATAAAAAAAAAAAAAAAATGTAGGGGCACTATATATAGAAATACAAAAAGCCCCTGCCTGCTCTTTCACTCTTTTATTTTCTAAATATGGTGTAAGCTAAATGCATACATAAGTTTGTTTGTTTATGTCTGTCCATATCAATCGATTTCAGTTGAAAAGTAGTTTGTGTTGTTTTGATTTTTTGTTGTTGCTTTTGCTATGGAATATTCACAAGTTCTGTTGTTGACACACATTTTTCTCACTTGCTTTTTTATTGCAGTTGTTTTTCATTTTTTAATATATATTTATTTTTGTTGTCTTGCTTTTCATCATATTCGTTGGCTTTGACTGTGTTTTCAAATTATTTAGCCTTCTCTCGTATATATTTATATACGTACGTACTTGTATGCATACTTTTGTGTTTTTTTTTTTTGTTTGTTTCTCGTATTAAATTAATAGAAGGAATTTCAGGTTTTATTTTCGCATATATACACATACATATATAAACTTACATATATGTAGGTACACTTCTATGTATCGTATTTTACCTTCTTTGTATCCTCTTCAGTTGGCCCACTTATTTTGAAAGTTGTTTCTGTTTTTATTTCTGGTTTTCTTTTTCCCCTATAGTTTTGTTCTTCATTAGAAAGTTTGGTTGATAATAATACTTGGTGTTCATCTGTGATTTCTCTTTGTTGATATTCTATTGTTTTGACTGTAAAATTTTCACATTTATTTTGCATTCACACATACATACGCACACGCATACATATATATATATATATATATATATACATATATATTTATATATATTCTGATAAAGTTACATGTGTCAGTTGGTAAACTTAAATGTAAGTAGTAAGTAAGGCACAAGGCACAATCATCAGTCAGAGTACAAATCATATTTGAAAATTTATCATTAATTGAAAGTACATTAGAAACAAAAGCTTTTTCTTCTCTCAGATCACTGATTGTTGGCATACATGGTATATACATATGCATTTATGTATATATATGTTACGTCAGCATATTTGTTAAAATAAAGTGATATATGGATTTATATACAAACATGTATTATATATATGTAATATATATATATATATATATATATATAATATATATAAAAATATCTACAAACACATGTTTTTGTGTACACGAATATCTATAGAAATAAATAGCTATAGAAATGTTTCTTAATTCAAAGTTTTTGAATTTATTATTGATTATATTTAGAATGAATCAACTATAATTAAAACATTCAAGAATTATAATCACACAATATTAACGCTTAAAAGCTTGCATATAGGTAGTTAAATTATTATTTTTCACTATTCTTTACTCGCTACAAGTAAAAGTCATTTTTATATCGAGACAACACTATTATATGAATAAAATTAAGACAAAAAAATCATTTTTAGTTTCTATTGAAGTCATTTTTTTTATTACTCATTAAGGCGACTAGAAAAAGCTTTGCCTGCCTACCAGTTTCGTCAAGTCAAATTGTAGATAGTCACTCACGACCTTGAATTAAACATATTTTTATCGTTTTCAAAACTTGGTTTATTTTTATAGCTCATCTCACACCGTCTAGAGAGATCGCAAACATATTATTATTAGATCTCATTTTTTTGTTAATTGTAGGCGTATATGAAACTCGTTGATCTGACTGTTCAATGATTTCGTTATAAATTTTCATTTCTATGAATTCTTAATAAAACAAGAGTGATGTTATATTCGCCCTAAATCAAATCAATTAATCTTAGGTTGGAGAGAAAGAAATCCGCTAATATTTCGTTCGCACTAAAAAAAATCTTTTGCTGTTTTTTTTTTTGGTAGATTCAGTTGTGAGTCACAGGGTGTTAAGAATGGAAGTCAACAAAGAAAAAATTCGCCACATTTCTAGTTTTTCTTTGATAAAAGTGAAATTGCAAATCAGACGTCCGACATTGTTAATGGTGTGTATGGTCTAGATACTGTAACAGCCCACCACATGAAATTTCGTTTTCGTCGATTTCGTTCAGGCATTTTTGATGTTAAAGATGCACTTCGTGCAGGCAGGCGCGTCGTCGAGAATTTCGTTAAAATCACAGGAATCATCGCAGCTTGCCGGCATATTAATATTCGTAACATCGCCTACACACAGATTTAAGCCATTTGCAAAAAGCTGGCTTAAAAAAGAGCCTTGGTGTTTAGGTGCCATACCAATTAACAAAGGAAAAGGTGACAGATTGAATTTTCCTTTGCGAAGCTTCGGCCAAACGGAATGGACGGCGATTGCCATGTTTTTCTTGCATTGCAAAACTTCCTTAATGTTAAGAAATTAGCGCCAACGGAAGGTTGTGAAAATCGATTTCGAGAGTTTTTCGTCGAAGTTGCCTTTAAAATGGCAACAAATTGTAAAACAAAACGGTGCATATTTGATCTAAATCGGTTGTCCAAAACATGCTATATAAAGTCTTGGAGTTAGTGTATTTCTTTTTAACTCACGTTAACACTATCATTTGAAATTGTGAACAATATAACACTAAGCGAGCACTAAGTATAGTTGCGTCCACTCGCCAATTGTAATTATAGTGTGTTCTATCTCACTAAACGCGGGCGTGCCGACGTAATAGTCACACTTCTTTATCACTTGTAACACAATTTAGTACTATGGAAGAAAAAAAGAATTGAAATAAATCCAAGTGTAAAAATGAAAGAAGCATTTTTTGCCTAGGAATACTGCGCGTGGACTTTCTATATAAGATGTATATAAATTATTTCTACAGATATGTGCACACGGAAATTTGGGGGAAGATCCAAGTGTACCGCCTATAACGATTGCGAGATTGAATCGCTTTGACAAAAGAGGAATCTATTATCAACGGCGAAAGTCTAAAGAAGTGCCGTTCAAATAATTATATAATTATTAACGCGAGCTATCGCGGACTTTATATGCATGTTTTTGCAAATTTATTCTTTAATTTATTGCTATTTTTTCATTTATTTAAGTTTATCCGAGCTTTCGTACAACAATTTCTAGTGTTGTAGAATGGAGAAATAATAGCTATGAATATTGCTAATAGTTTAAGTGTAGCACTTTGTATATAGAATTACAGGAAAATTAAACTTGGCTACGTGGTAGTCCCAAATAACTTATCGCACGTTCATACGTTCATAGAATGGCATACAGATGTGAGATGACTATTGACGTATGACGCGTGATTTTTAGACAGTACCAACCTTCAAGTGAAATACATGAAAATTTCATGACATTCCGACATTCAATCATTCGTAGACTCGCGATCCTTTTGTGAATCTCTTTAAACATGTCTGCCAATCTGCCTGTTTATCTATCACAATTTTCGAGTTTTTCCAATGAAATTTAGTATGTTCGAATGCTTCACCAAAGGCTATTGAAAATGGATTAGATCTGGTTCGTATTCGCCCGGCATCTAACGCTCGATTTTTAAAGAGTGCTTATAAGAAACAATGTTGGAGTTTTCGATATTTCTCGACAAAAATTATTGAAAATTAGCATCTTTACTGATTCAAAAAAATGTAGAAAACTTGGATCCAATAGGACTACGTTTATGAACACCCTCCTATAGGAAGCTTTCTACAGCAACAATCTTTTTGTGACCACGAGGTTTAATTTCGAATATAAGTTTTTTCTTGGCTGCACTTTTTTAGGCAAGGGTTTCCTCAAACAGGAAGCCTTTATATGGGAACAAGTTTAAATTTTCGATGCCTTATGATGAAAGCAGAAAATGAGCTGTATTAAGTGGACCGACTTAAATTTGTCTGTCCGTCCTCTTTTCGCGTGTTCAACTTATGGCAATTTTGGCCCAAACGCTTTGTATCGTACCACTTTTGAAATGAATACCTCCTATCTGTATAATTATATAAGAAAATATAAGAAAATCTTGCAAAGTTTTCAACTTGAAAAGTGTCAACTTGATAATAAATAAACAGTAATGACTGAGCCGATTTTTCAATTTTTCTTGACACAAACATAGTATACCTTCTGCGATGGGTATAGCGAA